CATCACAAAAATAATAAACAAATAAATCAGTAAATAAATAAATAAATAAATATTATTGGTATTTTGCTCCACTATGTAGTCCCATCTGGCCTGGAACTCTATGTAGACCAGACTGGCCTCAGTCTCAGAGATCTACCATCTGCCTCCTGAGTGCTGAGACTAAAAGTGGCCAGCCTGGAACACGCTCTTTTGTTTTTGGGGGGTGTGGGGGCTGTGTTTGAGGGGGTTGTTTTTGAGACAGGGTCTCCCTGTAGCCCCAGCAGGTCTAGAACTTGCTATGTAGACCAGGCTGGCCTTGAATTCACAGAGATCCACCTGCCTTTGTCCCCAGAATGCTGGGACTAAAGGCATGCACCACCATGCCTGGCTGGAACACACTGTTTTGATCTCTTCTAGAACATCCCCCTCCCTCAGTACTGGGGATGGAACCCAGGGCCTTGTATATCCTAGGCAAGTGTTTCTATCACTGAGCCATAGTCCCAGTTCCTATAAATAGACCTTTCTTTCCCTTTTCATTTAGTATTGAGTCATTAGAATTTTTCTGTCTGATTTTTCTTGATTACATTATATTCCATTGTGGTTATATTAACTACCCTTCTAATATAGCCATTTAATTTGAAGAAATGTGCACTTAATGAAAATCAGCTTCCCTGTTTCTTCCTAAGTTGTTTATAATTTGAGGTATCTAAGATGTGTCTAAATGACACCTTGTGGAGTGCCTCAGTATCTCCTTCTGAGATGTCACATACAAACTTTAGCCATGAAAAATGTACATAGAGGTCAAAAGGAAGATTATTAATTGGATATCAGGTTGGTTTGGCACCTGTGGACAAATGTGGGTGTGTGCCTTTGCACATGAGCATCCTTTATTCCTAGGAAAAAAGTAGAGAGGGTATTGAAAGGCTGCTTGAACAGTTCCCTCTTGTGTCTTCTTGACTCGCATGCATGTAGTCATGAGGAGCACAGAAAGACGCAGGACCTGAGAACCAGACAGCTCTAGGTTTAAATAATGACTTGCCCACTTGCAAGCACTCTGACCTCAGAGAAGCCCCTTCCGTCTGTAGGTGTGTTACAGAGAACCCAACACAGTGCCTATAGCCTGTGAGAGGATGATTCTGGCTCCATGCTGGACATTTTGTGAGCTGTGTGATCTTGGGCAGGCTCCTTAACCTTCCTGTAATTCTGTTTCCTCATCTATAAAATAGGATGATCGGCTCAGCAGTTAAGAGTACTGACTGCTCTTGCAGAGAACCCAGGTTTGATTCCCAGCACCAACATGGTGGCTAACAACCATCCTAACTCCAGTTCCAGGGGACCTGATGCCCTCTTTTGACCTCCTCGGGCATTGTACAACATGGGTGCACTTACACACACATGCAGGCAGCATACTCATACACATAAAATAAAAATAATAAATAGGATGACTAGAGAAGCCACTTCATAAGATTGCCTGAGTACACAGTGGCTTCTAACCTTAAAGGGACCTAGTGGTTGCTGTTTTAACGACTGTGGGTGCCTAGTAAGTGATGTCTTTAACAGCACCATGCCTGCTGGGCCTGAGGAGACTGTTCCACGTGTTCCTGGTGTTGGAGCTGCTGAAGTAGCAGAAGCAGTGAGCCTGCCAGGGTCGTACCTTTGCCCTTTGCTTAGGACTTGACCTTGAGGATAGTGACCCACAGGGAATGTGGCTGCAGCAGTCCTCCTCTCTCTGTTCGACCCTCACAGGGAAGCAGGGCTGTGCTGGCCCCAAACCACCTTCCTTCTGCAGTTCAGAGGCAGCAGTGACAATTGGGTCATAGTCACACTGCTTGACCTCCCCACTTGAGAGTCCCATCAGCTTAGCCTCCTCCCTACCCCCCTCCAGCTGGTACTCAGAGCCTCCTAAATGGTCTGGTCTCCTTCCAGCAAGCTCACACCTTCAACCAAAAGACCTTGGGCTCCCAGATGTCTCCATTTGCCCCAGGTTGGAGCCCAGGACTCTCCTAACCTGGGTCTGAAATGTTCTCCAAGATGGGCCCCAGCACAGGCCCCCTCAGGCCCTCCCATCCTGCATGCTGCCCTTGTCCAGTAGGAAGAACAGGGCCATGAAGCCAGGCTCAGGTTTAAGAAGCAGTTTACAGACATCTCCATAGAATGAGATATTTAATGCACAAAGGAATTTCCCATCAGCAAAGTTCACTCTGCAGGTTCCTTTAAATAGTGACTCCTGGAGGCAGTGGAGAGTTTTACAGATCATTAACTACTTGACTGAAAGCCTGCGGGGCAGAGAAACCTAAAACTGAAGTGTTGGGAGCCCCTGCCAATTACAGATCAATCCAGAATGAAGATAAAGTATCACTGGAGCTAGAAGTCAGTGGGAGAGTGTGATTTGATTCAGAAAAGAAGTCAGATTTACATGGTGCTTTTGTAGAATACACAGACTGCTTAAACGATGTTCCACCTGTCCACCCACCTTGAGCCTTTTGCATTCATCTCTACATCTCCATCCCTGAGTTGCAGTCTCAGGGTTCCCTTCTGCCACAGCATCAGCACAGTGACCTCAGGAAAGGGTGTCACTGGGGAAGTGTGCTGTGGCCAAGCAGAGTGTAGGAGCTGATGCACAGATACAGCAGTAATGGATGAACTCTACAGTAACAATCTGCAGATAAAAATAATAGAAGTTAAAGTGTACTTTACATGATAAAAGAAAGATGAAAGGACGAGAGTCTGTTCATCTGAGATGGTTGCGGAAGTCCTGCTTTGTGGAGTAGGCTCCGTTGAAAAGATTGATGCAATGGGGAGTGACCTTGGCTTGGAGCAGGAGCTGGTGATGTATGTATGAGCATCCCTCTGCTAAATGGACCCAGATTTGTAGCACTAATATACATGGGAGCCCAGAACCAAACTCAGTACGGCAATAAATCAACAGCCACTTTGGGTGTCATTTCTGGTTTATATCCCACTATTGTTCTATCACTTTAATTCATGTCACTATCATCTTTTCATCTGGAACAGTTTTATATAATTTTCCAGTGGAGTTACCTGACAAATCCTATCAAATTAACAAGGTACATTAACAGCATTGACTGACTGGCTGTAGGAGGTACACGGCCATAGAACAAAATTTTAAGCCATTTCTCTCTGCTGGTGATTTCTTCTCCTTCTGAAAAAGGAATGTGGGCAGGGTTTATTTCTACATGAGAGATGCATGTTTATTCTGCTCTATTCATTTTGACTTTTATAAATGTCAAAATAAGAAGCAGAGTTGGGAGTGAAGCCTATGTGCACACATGAATACATGTGAACACACACCATTACAACAGCTGTGGCTTTAGTGCTCTCTTCATTTCAGGGAACTGCAGAATGTCCAGATCCTTAACAATTAATGACCAAATTGGAGACAAGAGTATAGCTGGGTAGTCATAATCTATTTTAAGTGAAATGTAATCAAATTGGTCTCCTGATACCTTCTCAGCCTCCTGAAATCATCTGCACCTGAAATCTGGAGTTGAGTGGACTCATGACATCATGCCTCATTGAAATATGTTGTTCTTGAAACATGTCCACTGCCAGTTCCAGCATTCAGTTAATAAATACCAAAGACCCAGAAGGACCAGGCCAGCAGCTGTCCCTGCACTGTGTCCTCTGCGTATAGGCTGCTGCCTTTGTCTAACTGCAGCTGGAGTGAATCTGCTCACAGAATAAAACAGTAGATGGAGAGGGAGTAGGTCTAGTCACAAGGATAATATTTGGGTGTATTTTCTTTCTATTTTTCAATTTTCTGCCATGCTGGTGGTGGGTCTATGTTTGCAGGGAGGGATTAATTGAGCTGGTTTGCTTTTAATTCTCTTTTCAGTTCATCTTTTTTATTTTACTGAGAAATTCCTAAATGTGAACCATAGGATGAAATAGTTAATATTACATGTCTTTTCTCTTATACTATATACCATTATTTCATTTATTTCTTACATCATGACTTCTTTTTTATTTTATTTTTTCACTTTGACCCTGACCTTAAACTGTGGCCTAAAAATTAATTACTTTTCAGGCTCCATATGGGGCTCACCCCACAGCACTTATTAAAGGTTTGTGTCTCGTTTCATGACACTGCTTTTTCAGAAAAAGGGGACATCTAGGCTAGATGAAGTATGTCAGACTGAGTGTGTATTCTCACCTGAGATGTGTGACACACTTACCCCAGGACACCTCTCACGCCCTGTGTCACCTTTATTCCTAGTCATTGTTCAGCATGTGTCTTTCACAGCCCTATGAAGAAAGCATATATGACAGAATGTGTGAAATCCTGGTGATGGCACTATGGGGGTGCAGTAGGGAAGGGAGTCTAAATATGATCAAGATGTATTGTATGAAACTGGCAAAAGTCAGGAAAAAAGAAAATAGTGCCTATATTCTGGAGTCTCTCTCTCTCTCAGCAGAGAGGCAAGGCTCTTCCCTCCTGAAAGCCAGACTCAAGCCAGATTTAAACCTGGAAAGTTTTGTGTAAAAGACCTCCTCCCGTGACTTCCTTTAACTATAGCTTGGAAAATTATTTAGTGTCACAGAAGGGAAGAACTCTTGTCTCCTCCCCCCTATTTTTAATGTGTTAAGAGTTTTCCAGATCAGAAACTACTGATAGCTTAATTGTTGAGGCATAAGTGCTATTAATCTAGCACTTAAAATCTTTAGGAAAACACCAATGAGAACTCTGTCATAGTCACAAATGACCCTCTGCTGTAGTTTAATTCATCACAAGTGTGGACATAATGCTGTTATTGGCATGTAGGCAAATCCTGTGTTGTATCCGTTGTGTCAGAGAAGGTACACTGGAATACTTTACTATAACTTTGGGTTGTCACCCTCAGGAAGCCAGTCTGTGAGACCTTCAGGTGCCATGTTCAAGTCCTGCCTGTTGGAAGAAGCCCCTGACAGTCCCCAAAGCCCTGAGGTCAGGTAATCAGGCTGAAGTCACCCAGACCTTGCATGGCTCACAGCTTCTTTTTGTCCTCCCTCTGGCCTCACAGGTATCTCTGGAGACAAAGTGGAGATAGACCCTGTTACGAATCAGAAAGCCAGCACCAAGTTTTGGATTAAGCAGAAGCCCATTTCAATCGATTCTGACCTGCTCTGTGCCTGTGACCTTGCGGAGGAAAAAAGCCCCAGTGAGTAGTCCCTTTATTTATGTCTCCTTCCTCTCTCCCCCCTTCCCCTCTGTGTGCTGGGTGCTGGGAGAATATATTGCCATCGTGTCCTTTTTTCCTTGGGTCTGTTTAATTCATTACCAGAAATTTCTTTTAATCAAATGGGATTGTATTACATTGCCCAGAGCCTGACACAAGCCCCCATCCTGTTCCATCTTGCTGGTGGCAAAGACCCTTGAAGCCCCGTGGGGGCTGGGGTATCAAGCAGGTTGGAACTGGGAGTCTGCAGTCAGAAGAGCCTTTGCTTCACCTTGTGTTCCTGTCCCCTCTATCCAGGGCCCTTGACCAGTCAGCTCTGGACCTGCTTTCCTTCTGTGCCAGCCCGGGGAAAGTAGGGATTTCCTGTGGCTGCCCAAGACTAGATTTAGACATCCATCATGCTGCAAGTGTCAGCACCCCACATTATTGGCAACTGTGTGACCTCCAGCCCATAACTAAACTCCCACCTGGTCCTACAGAAGAGACCACTGCTGGTCTGGCATTCCTCCACTTAAACCATCCAAGCAGATACTGTTTAGGCAGGTTATATTTTTGCAGTTAGGTAATTGCAGGCAGTATTTAGATTAATTACCAAATCATGTTTAGGATACCAGTCCTAGCAGGGGGCAAAAAGGACATGTAGATCACACTGGGGTTCCTCCACAAAAGCACACCCTCTACACTGTAGAAGCACTCCTTAGCTGCTTGCAGAGGCTGGCAAATGGCTGCTCTCAGACTTTGATGTGGCTTGACGTTTCCTGTCACCAGATCCCACCCCAATAGATCTGGCTCAATACCTTGAGGTGCGTATTAAACATCTGGTTTGGAGGCCAATGTTCCCATGCCCGGGAAATTTGAGAACAAATGTTGTGAGAAATTATGTACTCAGAAGGAATGCTAAGAGGTGTAAAGGTCAGTAAATGACTATAATGTGAAGTTTTAAGGTCATACTGACTAAAATGACATCTTACAGTGCTGACACCCTCAGAAAGGCTTATAGGCGGGACACGTTCCATGTGCCTCCACCTCTCTACCCCACCCCTGTGGCAAGTGTTTTAATTTTATTGTCAAATCCAGCTATAAAAAAGCTCCTTTCAGGCTCCAGCTTGGCAAGAGGAGAAAGCTTAAGGGAGAGATTGGGGGTTGGGGGGTGCATCCCTGTCCCTTCCTGTCAACCCAGTTAGGCTCTGATGCTGCAAGGTTGCTGCCAAAGGGACCCATGAAAAAACTGCTTGCTGTTACAGGGCCCAAGACTCCCTCTGCCATGGGTAAGCCTCATCCCACTCACCCCATCTTGGTGGCCAGAAAAGATGCCATTGTTTGACATCTTTCTTCCTGGCACTGAAGATCTTTGGCCTTTTATAACTTTTCCAAGTCTATGAGAGATGGAAAGTGGCCATCTGCATGTTTCATAGAGGGCTCAGCTGGGAATGGGAAGGTTAGAGAAAAGTTGGAACCAGGATTTGCGTTTGCCTCTCACTCGGCACTTGCTGTACCTAAGGCTGATTCAGGCACTGAAAGGCAGCTAGTAGGGAAGGAAGGGAAAGGTCATAGCCACCTACTCCTCCTCATCTCAGGGGATCAGTGAGTCACACAGCAATGATTTTGTATCTGTGTGCATGGCTACATCCTCAGCCTGAAGATGCAGGGCAGACAGAGTCATCTTCTCTGTGCTGACAGCCTCTCGGTATCCATGGCCCAGTGTGAAAACCACTCACGTGGGTCTTCACAGGGGATTCTTTTTCATCTACAAGTTTTGCTTCCTGAACAAAATAGCTCTCTGTCCCGTGCACTCTTCCGAGCACCCATTTTCTATAGCAGTGCTTTTCAAACCTGTTCTCTGCACAAAGTTTCTTCAAGGAACTAAAGGACACAAGCAAGGTATATACATGGAGGCGGGGGTGTATTTACAGAATCTACAATTTAAGAAGTTGACAGGTAAAAGAGTGGGTTTTGTTTTTTTGTTGTTTTCTGGTTTTGCTTGGTTTTTGCTTTAAAAAAAAAAAAAAAAGTAGCTGGAAAGATGGCTCAGCAATTAGAAGGCTTGCTATGCAATCATGAGGACTAGAGCCCAGATCCCAGCACCCACATAACAAGCCAGGCATCTCCCATGCTTAGCTATAATCCCAACTCCAGGGAGGTAAAGGGGATACAAGATTGCTGGGGTTTATTGGTTTCCAGCCTAGCCTAGAAAAAGCAAGCCCCAGGTTCAAGGACAGACCCTGTCTCAAAGGAATATGCAAGGGAGTGATATAGGAGGACACTCAACACCTTCTTCTGGCCTCTGCACACACACCTATACATATACTCACACAGACTTGCACAATATAATACATAACATTTAAAGAAAAAGATTTAAAAGTTGCAGGCGTACAGAATAAAGCCCTGACTGCTCAGCACAGCCTTTGCAGGCATTGAAAACTCCTGAGTACTCAGGCCTTCCAGGCCAGAATTCCCACTTGAGTTTGGGCTGTGAGGTCCTTTTATACAGTGTCCTGCGTTTCTGCTGCTGCCACTGCCCGCAGCACCTTCCACTGACCCTCCCTCTAACTTACAGATGGTACTCCCTCCCTGGTTCAGCCCACTCATTTCTCAAGAGCTGGGTCCAGTACCAGGCCCCATCTGTTGACTCTGCACCAGGAATTTGTCCAGACCTCTGAACAGACACACAGGCTGCATTTATCTGTTTGAGGTCTGCCCTTCCCTCCTGCCCCATGTCCCTATGGAGCTAATGGACCCAACTCCTCCCATCTCCACCCCCGCTTCTGTGTTGTCGATTCTCCACACAGTGGCTGCTGTTGTTCTCAGTGATTGTTGGTCAGCTTGAAACAGAACTGAATGAATCCAGAATTTAGGAGTCAAAAGCTGTCCCTAGTAACTCATGCTGTGAAGCACCCAAACGAGGATCAGGTTGATATGTCTTTTCGTGATTTGCAGCATCTTCACCAAATTAATTCAGTGGCTTGATCTAGAAAGTTCCTCCTCAGACCATCATCAGACCGTGGAATTAATCTGTGTGGCTGCTGCTTTTTCTTTTTTTCCTAAAGGATTAATGGTAACCCTTTTTATCTTTTGTGTCTGTTGAACCTTAGGGGGAAAAAAAGTTATTTTAACAGCACTAAAGAAATGAAAGTCACTATATTTCATAAGTTTAGCCCTTGATTTTTATCAGTATAGTGATGTATGTTTGTAGCTGAGTTTACATCAAAAATTATTCTTAGGGCCTTCTTGAATGAATTATGGCAAAGAGAGAGAGTCTAGAAGTAGATAAGGTTTTTGATTTCTGCAATATATTTCCTTTTTCATGTTTTTATCTCTTGTAACACAAGTGTCTTCCCAGAGACTGGAACGTGTGACCAACTGGAATAATGTAGCTAGGAAAACAGAGCAGATGTGTTATTAAACAGCCTTCCTTACAAAAAGGCGTTAGGTGTGGGAATGTAATGAAGTTGTCCCCAGTCCTAACTTGAGAGGTGTTTGTCAGAATTTTGAACAGAAAAGAAAAGGTTTTTTTTAAAAAAAAAAAAAAATCCTTAGAATATGGCCAATTTGCAGTGCTTATGAAGAAAGCTACTGTCAAACCATTAATTTGGTCATCATAAGAAACAACTCTGGTTTAATTGATGCCACATCCCAAAAGTGTGAATAGCTGACTTGGCAAAGGGACTGAGCATTAGCACCACAGTGAAACACGTAATTACAGAGACTATGGAATCAGAGCCCAGATTTCCCAAGCAGTGGCCCTGTGCTCCCCCTGTACCTCATTTCTCCTTCTTAGACCAGTGCTCAGAGGGAAGATTTATTACTCTGTCCTTGTGAGTGTTTAAGGACCTGGAACTTAATGACTAAATAGATACATGCCTGAAAAATAATTGCACGTATAAATAGAGACTTTTCAAAGAGTTGGAAATCTGTGTATGACGAGCTCTGAGAAATTAAGAATGATTTCTTTCTTGATTTAAGAGAGCAAAAGCATGCTGCCATCGTTAAGCAAATCAGCGATTTCTTGGATTTCTCAGTGGAAGTCTGGCTTTCCACTCCTTGGAATTTCTTTTGTATTTTTGAAGGCTGCTGTAGACCTTTTAAAAAATGGATTTTAATGTCTTTTAGCAGATCTTGGCTGTGTATGGCACACAGAGAGGAAAGGGTCTCCATTCCATACACTGCATGGCTCTCCATCCTCACATCTAGACATGGGCTGTGGGTGGTGGGTGCTTTCTTAAAGTGCTAGCCTCTATTCTAGTGCTAAACAAAGCCAGGGCCTTTCTAGGAGACAGCCCAAGACTCTCAGGCTCTGTCTAGGTCTGGTCTCATCAGAAGAAGGTTGTGCAGGTTCAGGGTCTTTAAAGGAAGCAGCCTATCATTAAGAAATCAGATTTAAACCTTAATAAAGTAGCTGTCATCTTTATAGCTGAAAAGAGCTCTGTATCTCAATTAGGTCAAGTTAATGTAAAATCTTAAGGAAGCACCACAACAGAGATAACCTGATTATATTCTCTTACAGTAGTATAATTTAAAGGAGGCCTGATTCTGTAGCTGCTGGCTATACTGGTGGGAACTGATTGGTTTGGTTTGGTTCGGTTTTTAGGTACTCTGTAAGGTTAGGAGTTAACACAACTTTGGGAGGTGGTTAGACTCTATAGTGAATTGAAGCTGCTGGAGCTAAATTAGCTGGGCTTACTGGTGACCTTCCATTTAAATGAATCTTTCTTTTCATAAATACTTGACAAGATCTGTAAAGTAGTGTATTTAATTTACTAATTAAATTAAAGCTACTGAATAATGATTTGTCCACATTGATTTAGCTTAAATGGAAAAGATCAGCTTTGTTGTGATCTTCAGCAACCTTAATGGCCAAGCCAGTTAGACACAAAGGCCCCTTGTGTCTTGTGGGTCAGAGTACATAGGTAAGCCAGGCTGTGATTGAATTGCCTGTACTGTGCTCTGTGTTGCAGCTCTCCTCTGCATCCCATTCCATTGTT